GACCCGCCTTCGCCTAAAACTAATCAGCACGTCTCCTTATCAATACGAATCGAATGTTTTTTGAATTATTCAAATCGCTTTATCCGTGTTTCCGAAATCGTCGACTAAAATTTGTATTTGAACACACATACACACACGCACACACATACACACGCACACATACATCCATTTTTTCTAAGGTATGCCAAAATATTCAGAAACCTCTGAAACGTAAAGATATATAAAAAATTTCATTTTTCGATTTTTCAATTTCGATTTTTTTTGCGATTACTATAACTTGCCCTACGGAAAAAATTGTATAGAGAGCCTGTGCTTTTTGTAAATTAAAGCAGCTGAATAAAAAAATGAATATGATGATATTTAAGAAACACGAGAAACTAGGTTGAAATACAAATCTAACAAATACTGTTGAAAAGTTGGATGGAATCAAATGGTTCGATCATGGGATGGGATGCCTAGGATAAATTATGTTAATGAATACAACTATGATATATTTGCTTTATCTACAACTAATAGTAGGAAGTTTATAGAAGTTTTCCGATTCTTCTGATGTTATTCATTATATAACTGTTATGTAGGTTGCAATATAACTTCGGTCTTGAGCTCACGCACTTTTGTTCAAGGCGCAATGTAACTGTTCGTTACGCGTTAATGAGATATTGTACATCAACAGCAGACAGTAATAAAATCCGTTTACGGAGTTAATAGGTCAATCCGCCGGCGCTTTTGTACCGTTGCACTTTTAATAACAATCCTTATCAAAACTCATTATCATTAACTTTAACTGCAACATTTTTGCTATTAGGCAATTTGCTTGATGACATCGAACATGCTTTTTTCAGTGTTATAATAATTTATTTGAATATCAATGATGTTCAGTGATAGAGAATGGATCAAAACATACTAGTGATTTATGAGTTCAAATTTGCGATAACGTTGGCGCCTGCTGGCAAAAATTATACTGCAGATTCCTGGTTCGAACTAATTTATGTGGCATATGAGTAACTATTCAATGTTATATAAATATAACAAGATTTTGTGTAGAAAAGTTTTTGACGCGTAGAATTTGCAGTTGTTTTTGTGTTTTATATACATAGTTGTTTTCCCATTTACATATAAGTCAGAAATAAGAAATTAAGTTTTTATTTTACAATGATTATTAATGCCTAGATTCAAAACATAAGACTTGCACATATACTTAGATAATTATTGTTAAGCATTTCACTTGCTAGACGAATTAATGCACTAGGTCATGTCATTTCTGGACTATTACGGATTTGCATTGAATTTTTGCTTACTTTTTTGTAAATTTTCATTATTTTTGTAATCTTTAATTATAGCTACTCTGAAATTGTCTTCGTTAATATATTCCCATTTTTACTGTATTTAAAGTTAATTTAAACTCAATTTTACTTTTGATTACATTACACGTAATCAATTTTAATAACCACATTCTGATTAAATTGAAGCATTAAATTTATTTGATTACAGGTTTTATTACTTATGCATTTCATGCTTTAATAATTGAAAACCTTGATATAAATAAATCGCTTAACTTGATATAAATATTTTTTTAAGATCTACTATAAAACATGACTCTGGGAACCTTTATATTGAACAAATTTATTATGTATTTATATTTTTAATCGATGAACTTTACGTACAATTAAGGCAAATGTATTCAAGGCTTCACAATGTTTATCATACGTAATAAAACAATTCAGCCATAAAAATTTACATAACGCGCGTAATGAAATGAGGTCTACTCGGCGCCTTAATGGAAGAAATTAATTAAACTCTTCATGATTTTCATTTTATATACAAAAACTCTTTTAATGTTATAATAATATATAATATTTTTTTCATTATGAGTGCTTGTTAATTTTTAAAAAAATCTTCAATAAGCTTGAATAACTATTCTTCGTACCTTTCCTACAATGGAAAAAGTACGCTGTTTAACCTTCTGAACTCACTTATTCACATGCTTATACTACATATTATTTTTTTCATATTTGCGATTAATTTTAAAATTGCTTCAGTTATTAATTTTTTATTGCAAACAATGAAAGATAATGATCACTACCATTTCAATCTAATTTAAACTAATTTAATCAGGATTCTTCTGATTATTGCAAAATCATATGATTTTTAAGAATGAAAAAAAAAATAATTTCAGAATCTAAGCAGAATGAAAAATGCAAAATCTAATATAATAATAAATCTGAATAAAGTTTTGTATACCTCAGATTTTACATTATCAGCGTTACAAATGTTAGACTTGTATAAATATTGTACATTTCGATCCAGCAAATGAAATAATGTTTTTCATTTTTCCGTTTGTTTTATATTTCACACCATATTTTTCAAATGTGATAAAGTATGTTAGTATACCACGTATGACTCATTTCAATTTCAGTTCGATTACATAATACATATCAAGAATATAAAGAAAGCTCTAAACATCACGTAGAGATCGTAAATTTAGTTGGATATTTACAATTGGTACATTGGATCTATATCTATTTGAAGAATTCAGAATAATGGAACAAGTTTGATGCCAGGAAAAATTAAACTTACATTAGGAATCATGGACTTTCATTTCCAGGTCTTTTATTTGTCTTTTCCATGAAGTACTACAGAATATTGGCATTTTCCTAGCTTAAATGTCGAAGACTAGTAGTTGAAATATTTTTAACAGAACCATTTCTAAGAATTGATTTGCCGATTTAAATTAAAATTCTGGTCAAACGTCGTTGAAACCGTATTTGCTTTAAAAATTTACGCACAGTTCAAATAGTTTTTCTGTAACTTTCTGAAGTCACAGTATTATTTCACATAGCTTGCTCATGACATAACTGTATGGTAAATATGCCAAAAAACTTTTCATACGATGGATAAATTAATGATATAAAATGATGGAATATAATAATAGAAAAGGAATTCATTGAATTATAAAGCGATTTATAATATATACGTTTTATTCGGGCGCCTAGGGTTATCAAATATCAATAATTATTGCTAGTATAAATGCACAATTTAATTGCAGAAGATCTTGCATAATTTTAAATGTTAACAAGATTTGCATGAATGATATGAATGGATTATGACGCTTAAGTTTTGTACAGAATTTTTGATATAAAATGTAAGAAACTGAAATATTTATATAAGGGGTCGGCGTTTTTAGATAAAATATATCAAAATTAAATAGTATTAGTTATTTTATTGTCGCTATGAAGTTAGTTTGTTATTTATTTTATTGTTTAGTTTTTAAACGATTTCCAATTAAAGAAAAATCAAAAAGCGTATTGTTCTTTCAGACAATTATATCGCGCTCTGTGAAATTTATTTGTATCTTTAAATTAATCAGTAATATTAGGTTCTCTTTAAATTAAATGCTTCAGTTTCTAAATAAATTCTTAGGCTGACTAATAGCGAAATTGGTTTCGCAAATAGCCCTATTTTATAGCCATTAGCAAGTGTCATCTAACCTGTGCCAAGAAATTACCTATTCATTATTCTTAAATATCCAAAGAAATTAGAACATTACTTAAGGTGTATAAGTTAATTCACCGGATCTAAATCCGAAGTCTATTTTGTATCGATTAATCGCCAATTTCCGAAATAGATACAGCTAATGTAATAGAATCTTCCGTATTTTATCACCTATATGACTCATTATTGTTTTCCTATACTGCCAATATATGCTAACTGGTTTATTTTCGTAATTGGCACATGTCCCATAATACTTTGTATACAAACTCTAGGAATTAGAATGGCTAACATTATATATGTTTTTGATTTTATTACTAACGAGATCCTATTTTACTAGGTCAACGGATCACGAGGAACGTGACGAAAAGATCTCATGTTTGGGATAAAAAAAATTATTTTAAATTTAGGCATTTAATCCTTCGGTATTGTAATTGATATATGTTTATAATATAAGTTACACATCAACATTTTTGATTTTTTGAGCTATATTCATTTCCCAACATTTCTGCAATGTTATAAATCATTGTATTTATCTTATAAATTATTTTGTTGTAGTCTTTGCTAATTATAATTTACTTTTTGTATAATAATATGGATCAGATAAAAAACCATAAGGATTAAAAAGTTTATACATTTTTATGTATTGATTTTATGCAATTTTTCAAAAAAAGCTATATTTTTTTATAACTCTATAAAAGCTGAGCTGAACACAAACATATTCAGTTATTCGTATTTTCACTATAATTTTGGTATTGAAACATCGACAGCCATAAGTTTTTCGCAGAACTATTCCGATGTGCTCTCAAAGATAATAATTATAATTATTCATATTATTATACGTTCGATAAAGAGAGCATAATTTACTGCGTCCTAAGAGACATAAATATATAAAAGGGACATTCATGATGGATATATCGTCACAGGCGATTAACGTAATACGTGATAAAATCTAACAGCCTAAGGCTCTAAGTTGAATGTCAGTTGAGTTATTTTAACTAGATTCTATTCTGCTCTTCTCTCCAAGCTATTTATGCCGATTAACTTCTAAATGGTGCGTTTAGCAGAATGGCATAAAACTTGAGATTGTAAAGACAGACACTCCAACGGATTCCATAGAAATTTATGTCTCGTATTAGTATTCATATACAAATCTTTCTTCGCGAAAAGATTTTCCATAAATCTTCTTTGTCCGAAGAAACATCTATTAACTACCTTGAGTTAAAAGAGAGGAGTAGTTACATAAATCTCTACTGGAATGTATGGGTATATGCCATTTTCCCATATACAATAATAGGTCAAAATATATTTCCCTATTATATTAACGTCATTAATTTTTTATAGAGATACTTTTTGAAAAAAATTAACGAGAGTTAGCTTAATGCTACTTTACTCATGTGTGTGTTTGTAATTCTTGTTCAGGCACATTAAACTAATTTATTTACCATATATTCATATTAATCATGTTGTTATCTGCATCGTTGTTCATAATATTATTTTTTAAATTTTAGGAGGAGAACTCCGTTCGAACGGAAGATCTCCACATAAATACGTCATACAGCAGCCTTCATATAGTGGAAAACAACCCTTTCTCATACCACGGGGGCGAGCGTATTTCCTAATTGCTCTAGCCATGGCAGCTTTGGTAGCTGCTTTTCTATTAGCCTGGTTCTTATCACCTGGTAAGTGACCATATTTTAAAAAAATTAAAAAAAAAATTCATCACTAATCATATAGTATGAAATCTAAAATTCTATTCTTAAATTTAAATACACATACACAATGTGTAAGAATACTTTTATATAAACTATGTATGTATATATTGTTATAAATAAATTCTATTTTTGCACATGTACTTTATGTGATCGAAGATCGAAATGCCTTACAAGCAGGAATCATTTAACTAATTTATACTACAAATCAAAAACAATCACTACTATTTACAGGCTTCTGATTAGACATGAATGTTAAGAATCGATTGAGTACTCCAATTATGTCTTACAAATTTTCACATATTTTTCTGATAGATTTAAAGGTTTAAAATCAATTCTTGCAATTTTATCGTTGATTTAGTGAATTTGAGGATATTGAACATATTGCACTTAACAAATATAATATCTAATAATTAAAATAATTTCACTGCGAATCCTCTATTATTTTTTATTTTTTTTATAAAATATTTTTTCTTTGATTAACCAATTACTGAAAATTGTGAAAGATAAATTTTAACTTGTTATATTGTTCTTAGGACCTACTACTCATTAAAAAATCATGGTTATAACATATCATATGAGTTAACTGCAATATTTCACGTATAGCTATAGATTTTTTCTAGAAAACAAATTCATCCAAAGTTTATACGATATTTGACAGCTATTTCAATTTATTACGTGAAATGCCTAACAACGAGTCAATAATTTCCAGAGCCTGGTTAAAATATTTAGTGGGCAAAAATATATATTATATATAATTCTACTTTAAATTGATTTCAAATTTGATTTTAATTTATGATTCTAGTATGTTTATTTGTAAATTGCAATTTGTGGACAAACTACTCAAATTAAAAAATTGTGGTATTTTGTGTTATCAAATCACTCTTGCTAACAATGTGGATCTGATCCGTCGAGGAGTTATCTGCGTTTGCAATAAAATCACAATCACTCATGTTCCGTTCAGGTTCTTCACACAAACAATATCTTTTAGCTATATTTCTCTCTATACATTGATCAGTTATTTCAGCTGCACGAATTTTAAGTTAGACATTTGTTAATTTATCATTATTGATGGTGAGTGTGATCATTCTTCATTTGTTTTAGGTTATGGTAATGCCACTAGTCTATGTCCCATCGATCAAAGAAACGCAGCCAAACTCGGATCTGATGGTCCTTTGGAGGAATTGATGTACCACGATGATAAAACAGTTCATGATCCCAATGCTGGTACAGGAACAGAAAAGGAACCTTATCGACCTAGCAGATACAAGTAAGTTCAAAACTACTAAATTTAACTAAAATTCACTATTTTATTTGCATATATTTATTTTGATATAGAAAAATAATTGCTTTTAAGTTCTGTGTGCACTTCACTGAATGAAATCTTGGAATGGAAATATTATATTAATAGTGTTGTTCAAAGTCGTTGTAGAATATGCAAAAAATAAACCAGAAGAATTACAATTAGTACAATATAATATATATCTGAAGTATGAGGTATATATTACATTAAAACATTTGAGTCCGGTGAATTCTAAAATAAAATGAAATCTTAGCCATTTCTATTAATTTTATAAAATAAACTTTAGATAGAATGTCACTCCTGCGGAAATCCCCGCCGTAGCCAATGGGTTAAAATTTTCCTTATTTGTTTATAGAAATTTTGAATTCTTCTTATTTATTCTTATTTTTGTATGTATATAAAAATTTGTCACTTTCGTATTGGAACTTATTTTAGAGGTATTATATAAGGGCATCACCATCGTTGCTAATATCTCATGTCCACATGAAATATCTAAATAAATCTAAATATTCATTATCAAATATATTGAGAATGGACAAAAATTCCATGAGGTAAAATTAAATAAAGTGTTTCAAAACAAAGAATTAAATGTGCCAATGCATTTACTAAAATAATCATTTGTATAACGTTTTTTTAAGTTGCATAAATATTCATGATAATTTATTGTAGGTGTTAGTTTCGAAAAAAGTTTATGTATTAAGTGATAATTTTTTTCTCTAATTTTTAACTCAGAACTGATATAATAACCGAGTGTCAGATAACTTTGTCATGTTTGTGATTTGGGCTATGTTTGCTTTCCTCAAAGGCGCCGTCAAGTGCAAACGCAAATATGTTTTGAAATTGGTAGACAAACATTATTGATTAGTTTTTTTCACATCCTGTTGATTGGTTGTGTAAACTTTGAAACTGAGAACAGGTCACTCGAAAATTTCCTTCTGAAATTGTATTAGCACTGCTGATTCATAGAGTTAATTTATGTTTGCTTATGATATATAATTCCTGTATGAACATTTGATGTTGATGTCTATAATAAATAATTGTGTGTTGCCATAAATTAAAAACATATTGAAAAGTAGAATATTAGTAACAAAACTTCTTAAGTGCTGATATTTTTAGATAAATTATTATTTCATGTTTTTTGAATATATAGCATACAGCCAGAACATGTTTTTTTATTAACTACTGCATAACTTTCAGGATTTTCTTATCTCCAAATATATCATCTTCCCAAACGTATGGTGAAGTTTACATCGACTTCGAATGCTTTGAGAATGATGCTGAAATTATCATAGATATTGGTGGTGACATGTTGATCCAGGCTGAGAAATGACTTTACACGATGTTAGTGATACCCAGGAACAAAGTATCAATATTAAAAAACATGATTACTTGCCGGACTTTGCAACCAGAACAAGGTAAATGTTGATATTTATTTTAATATCAATTTTAGTGCTGAACAAATCACGTCATTCGCAATTCAAGCGTGTCTAAAATAAATTCAAATTTACGTATACTCCTTGGTAATAAAATTTCAAGAGCTAATAGAAATTGGGAATCTCTCCAAAATTCTCCACTACTTAATAAGGATTCAGCTAAATTGCATTATTCAATAAAATGTAAAATTGAAATTTAAGACAAACTTATCATACTTTTGAATGATTTTTTAAATTTCTAATATCTAATATGACCACACTTTTTCTTTTCATTCTAAGCAAATTAAAATAAACTTATTTTCTATGTTAATTACTTGAGAAATATTTGAAATTCTGTATCTTGCATTTGTTGTTTTAAGTGCAGTTAGGAATTTTAGATAATCAAATTTATGTTGACAAAAAAATATTACTTTTACATGCTGGCTTAGATGATATTGAAAATTTTACTATATATTATATTGGTATACATTTCAGATTTTCTATAACCCCCGAAAAAGCTGTAGAAGGCAAAAAATATAGACTGTATATGCCATTTAATGGAAGACTCAACGATAAATTGCAAGGTTTTTATAAAGCCAGTTACATAGACCTCAGTGGACACCAAAGGTTAGTCAAATTTTTATTATCCCTTAATTTTAATCTAAATCTGCTGACAGCTTTTCAACTTCAGTAAATGAAAATTGGGTTTCTATGTCGTTAGAATGGGTTTATTTTAATTGCTACATCATAATATTTATTTTATGGCATAAGTAGAATCTTCCTAATATCACGTAATAAAAGGGAGATAAAACCATCAGCAATAATAAAAATGTCAACACGAATTTTATTGTACTCTTTTCAATTAGTAAATTTTATTAAATGTAATAAAAATTGTCGTAAAATTTACACTTATATTAAAAGCACTATAATGAGCTATTGAGATGAAAAGTTTTTACGTTTCTTATTTAAATATTTTTTTCATGCAGCATTATTATTTCCTAAATTATAAAAACTTAATTGTATATTAAATTTTTACATCAATTTCAATATTATATATTATATTGAATTTGTAATTACATTGCAATAAGTATAGTACCTCATATTGTGGTTAAGTGGAAGAAGAATTAATCTAAAAGAAGCAAAAGTTTAGAGTTTGTGAATGAAATTAAAATCATTTCTTTAATGTTTTCATTATTTATGATACAGTTTATAATTTATGTATGTATGCATATAATTTACATATATTATAAATCGAAGTGAAATAGAGTTGAATAAATATTTTGGACCTCGTGAGATGGAAATAATTAGTTATTTTTGTTTTTTCTCGGCTTAGGGATAATTCCTAATATTGATGAGTATGATTATTAATCTTTCATTAAAAATAGCTTTGGAAACTTGTCATTATCTATCCATAAAAGTACTGCTGTATTACTTAGCACTTATATCTCGACAGCATATGCTTTTTCCACAAGAGTAAATGTCAAACAACCATGTAAAATGATGAAGAGATACTTGAAAATCTATTTTTCTCAACAGCCACTTCTTCCGTCTAGACTTAAACCTTTCGGCCGATGTTTCCGTGTACATGACTCCTGTCATGTGTAACTTCTTATAAAAGCATCTGCTTTCTGTATTGTCTTTGCAGCGGTGCTTCAGAAGATCATTAGATCTTGTGACCTCAGAATGTGTGAGGTCTTCGTGTTTAAAAATTAACATACACCTACTAGAATTGTACTAGTTCGAATTCTTCACTTACATGCAAGTTTGTATTTTTTAGTTATTTGTTTCTAGCTTGAGAAATGAAGTTTATTTCTTTACTTTTGAAATTATCAAGCCGAATTGTAGACATTTATCTTATATTTATAACGTATGTTTTTCTTGTTGGTTTTCTCATACAAATTTGAAGTTTGTTTTACTGTAAAATTTTATACTGCCCACTTTATTGCCAATTGATAACCATGTCAACAAAGCCTGACAACCTTGGTTTGTTTTTCTCATAGAAATTTGAAGTTTGGTTTACTGTAAAATTTTATACTGCCCACTTTATTGCCAATTGATAACCATGTCAACAAAGCCTGACAACCTGACTGCCCGAGGCAGGTGTCAAATCTGGTGTCTCTGATTGTGAAGAAATCCTATAGCTGTAACCAATAATCCACGTGAGATCCTTAAAGTTGAAAATTAAAAATAAAATTGAAATATTCTTAGGATGCATGATAGGTCGTAACTGATTTAATCGAAAGACTTTATATTAAAAAGCTCAACTACTTTCAATAAAAAAATTAAGATTTAATTCACTGCAGACTCTTATAACCCTTCGTATTAAGCTCCAATAAGTATTTATGGAGATAAATAAAAGCTTGGGCATGAAATAATAACGATCATGATCCAGTGCTAGAGTTCACACAATTATGATCATTCTCATAAAACGAGACGAGTTAACAAGAGTGTGTCAATTTTACTATCAATTATTATTAGTTTTCTAGAATGCAATTCAACAGCAGGAAGTAATGAAATATATAGACCTAGTCGTTAAAGAATTGCGCTGTTCCTATTTCTAGTTTTAATAACCGATTGCTCATGATCATTTTTTTTACGATCGATCATCTTCTTTGGATATCCTTGAATTAATTATACTGATGAAACTATTTTTCAAATGCAACTTCAGGTTTTTAATATTTCATTTTCAATCTTTATTAGTTTTCAATATTTATTTTATTAGTTTTGTTTGCTTTTATTTTGTTTGCTTTTATTTTGTTTGTCATAATAATAATACTCCTATGCATTTATAGCAGTTTTCATGTATCTGACTTAGAAGAATATTAAAATTCAAATGTAAGAGTGAAGTTATGAAATTTTCAAATAATTCCTAAAAGGTAGATTTGGGAATGCGTAATAAATTAAACCTATATATTCAATACAACGTAACTAAAAAATCATCCAGTTTTAAAACTATTCTATTACATAATTTTTTATAATTAATTCGTGGTATCTACTGATCAAGACAATCTAATAGTCTTTAATATTTACATATTAATTAATTAATACTTACATATTTATTTTATGCTTTCCATTTGTTTATACAAATACTTCTCCAAATTTAACGGAAACCAGGTGTTTTTGATTTGCTGAATTTATACATTTTATACAGTAGTGTCATAATTGGCTATTTTTAATTTCAAATAAATTTGTCTTATTTTCAAGTATAAAGGGATAATACGACCATGGCTATTTATATATGTAGGTGTTATTTTTAATTGTATGTCCTTGAATATGCTCATTCAAACAAAAGTTTTATGTTATAATTATTATTTCAAGTACGACATTTTCATAATAATCATCTTATGCAACTGAGCTTATGGGTTATTTTATTTCATCTATATGCACAATAAGTAAATCTTAGTCATTTATTTTTCTTGTAATATATTGCTTTACTGTCTACGTGTGCCGATCGATGAATGAAGCAAAATTTATATGCATCTGACGTAAGATCGCATAATACTCGATTATTGATGCGTTCATGTCATTAATTTTTATCCGATTAAAATTTGCATACCGTAATATGTTTATAATAAACACAACAAAACAGTAAAGGATATAGCATCCTAAGGGTATTGCACAAGTTTTTGTTGTTATGGCTTGGGATATTTTTCATCATTTTATGCATCATACTTGGATTCATGGAAAAGTTGGCCCCAAGCGGATTGATTAAATCTCAAAGTGTTTTGAATTGAATGCATTAAGTTTTGATTCATATTAGTTCAGGTGGCATGATATGCTATGCAAAATAACTTTTTTTTTATCAGGTCCAGTGAATTTAATACTATCTTTTGAAAATTTTATCCAGGTGTCCATTAAATTTAGTCCCACAGCATTTTCATCAACGAATCATATTCTATACTTTTTTACCCAATATTTTTTTATTGAAAAGGGTAGAAAATTACTATTATTATTATAATACGAATAGCATTCTATTTAAATTCTAAGGCCAACAAAAGCATAGCAAGTGGTGCATGACCTAAAGCATTTGATAAATGAAACTAATTACTAATCAATAAAAATTGATCAATGATTAATAACAATTGTTTGAAATATTTTTAAATAAATTATTATAAATGTAGTAAATTTCATAATTCCTATGTTATAGATAAAATAAATGTTATAAATTAGGCGACGAAGGGTATTGAATTCTAAACATTGTAATACTTGTTGGTACGAGACTTACAGAAAAGGAAATAACGTTTTTTGGAACATTTCCCATAAATGTAAAATTGGGTTTATAATGAAACTCTTGTTGACTTATTTGTTTCACTAATTTATTCACTTATGATTTGGATTTACATAACTTATTTTGCTTTAAATTTAACTGGTACTTTCTTATGCCCTTTCTTATTGACTCTTAAACTTGTACTGAAAATAACACCTAATATTTTTGGGTAAATGTTTTTTATTGAAAACCCTGTATGAAGCGAACAGCTTTGTGCTTGTGCGTTGTTGCATTTTTTGTACACTGGAGCAGCAATTTGCTCCATTTTTATTTATTTTTAAAATTTTTATAAGATATCTGATAATTTCCCTATAAGATTACTTGACAACCAAATATCAGTTTTTGGAGCTTTCTAGTGCATGTCTGAAACCGCAGGACTGCTTTTCTAAAAATGTATTCAATTTTTCACTCCATCAATACAAGTGAAAAATACTTCAAATATAATAATCCGATGATTCGATCTCCCATAATCTGAATTTCTATTTTTTGTACTTTTTGTCCCATTAAACAGCAAATCAATGTCTTTTATTCAAAATGATGATCCATGCACTCGAAATCGTTGACGAAAAATTGTATTGGAACACATACATGAATACATACTACACACACACACATATATACATCCATTGTTTTCTAAGGTATACCAAAATA